CTGTAATATGCTGTAATAAATAAAATAAAAAAACTAAATTAAAAAGAGCCTTAAAATTGTCATTTTTAACAGAAATAGAAAAATGTTTCTAAAATTCATAGAAAAGAGCCCAAGTAGCCAAAGCAATATTGAGCAAAAAGAACAAAGCTGAAGATACCATACTACCTGACTTTAAATTATATTACAAAGCTATCATAACCAAAGCAGCATAGTATTGTTATTAAAAACAGGCACATAGATTAATGGAACAGAATGCAGCAGTCCCCAGTCTTTTTGGTACCATGGACAAGTTTCATGGAAGACATTTTTTCCAGGGAATAGGGGTGGGGGTGAGGTGGAGCTCAGGCAGTCATGCAAGCTATTGGGAGCCCCTGTAAATACAGATGAAGCTTCGCTCACTTGCCGGTCGCTCACCTCCTGCCATACGGCCTGGCTCCTAACAGGCAATAGACTGGTACCAGTCTGCAGCCCAGGGGTTGGGGACCGCAGGAATACAAAACCCACAAATAAATCCATGTATTCCCAGCCTATCGATTTTCAACAAAGGTGTTATAAACATATGAAATACATTAGGGAAAGGACACACTCTTCAATAAACAGTGCTGGAAAAACTGAAAATTCATATGCAAAGAAATGAAATTAGACCTCCTATCTCTCACCAGATACAAAATCAAACTCAAAATGGATTAAACATTTAAATGTAAGACCTGAAATTATAAAACTACTAGAAACAAAAAAACATAGGGGAAACACTCCAGGAGATTGATCAAGGCAATGATTTTATGGCTAAGACCTCAAAAGCACAGACAACAAAAACAAAAATAGCCAAAAAGGATATTTAACTTTCTGCACACCAAAGGCAACAACAGGGTGAAGAGACAACATATTGAATGGGAGAAAATATTTGCAAACTCTTCATACAACAAGGGACAATATCCAGAATATATAAGGAACTCAAACAATTTAACTGAAAAAAAAATTAATTTAATTAAAAAGTGGACAAAGGATCTGAATAGACATTTCCCTCTCTCTGTCCACCCCCCTCTACCCTTCCCTTTAAGAGACAGGGTCTTACTGTTGCCCAGGCTGGAGTGCAGTGGCTCAATCACAGCTCGCTGTAACCTTGACCTCCTGGGCTCAAGTGATCCTTCTGCCTCATCCTCCCAAGTAACTGGTACTATAGGCATGCACCACTATGCCCAGCTAATTTTTAAAATTTTTTGTAGAGAAGGGGGTCTCAATATCTTGCCCAGGCCAGTCTCAAACTCCAAGCCTAAAGTGATCCTCCAGCCTTGGCCTCCCAAAGTTGCTGTGATTACAGGTGCAAGCCATCATGCCTAGACTGAATAGACATCTCTCAAAAGAAGATATATGAATGGCCAACAGGTTTATGAAACATGCTAAGCATCACTAATCATCAGGGAAATGCAAATCAAAGCCACAATGAGGTATCAACTTATCCAGTTAGAATGGATATTATAAAAAAACCAAAAAACAACAACAACAAAAAAATGTTGATGCATAGAAAAGGGAGCTCTAATACACTGTTCATGGGAATGTAAATTAGTACAGCCATTAGGGAAAATAGTATAGAGGTTTCTTTAAAAAATAAAAATAGAACTACCGTATGATTAAGCAATCTCACTACTGGGTATTTATGTAAAGGTAAGGAAATCAGTATATCAAAGGGATATCTGCACCCCCATGTTTATTGCAGCACTATTCACAATAGCCAACCTATAGAATCAATCTAAGTGTCCATGAATGAATGAATGCATAAAGGAAATGTGGGGCTTATACAAAATGAAATACTATTGAGCCATAAAAAAGAATAAAATTCTGCCATTTGCAGTGATATAGATGGAACTAGAGATCTTTATATTAAGTGAAATAAGCCAGGCACAGAAAGACAAATTGCATGTTCTTGCTCATATGTAGGAGTTAAAAAAGTTAATTTCATGGAGGTAGAGAGCACATGATAGTTAGAAGAAGCTAAAAGTGGGGGCGGGGGGTGCAGGTTAAGAGAAATTGGTTAATGGGTACAAACATATAGTTAGAAGAAATAAATTTCCAGTGTTCCACAGTATAGTTACCAGCAATATATTGTTTATTTCAAAATAGCTATGAGATTATTTGAAATATTCCCAACACAAAGAAATAATGTTTGAAATGCTAAATGTTTGAAATTATGGATATGCTAAGTACCCTGATTTTAGCATTACACATTGTATGCATGTATCAAAATATCCCATATACATCACAAAAGTGAACAAACATTTTGTCATAATAAAAAATTTCATGAGAGCCCCAAACAAGTCATCCTTGAAGGCTAGGATAAGAAAGGAGGTAATAGAAAAAATAACATTCTAAAACTGACATAGTCTTCTGATAATGAAGTCTGGATTTTAGGGAAGGTGCACAGTTCATTGCAGATTAGGACATTTTAAGAGTTGAAACTTGCAGGAGCAGATTATTACTGACAGTACTCATCTTACATCAACAACTATATACAGTCTGACATGAAGCAGATGGCTTGAGTTTTGAGAATACTAAGCTTCTGGTAGATAAGCAGAATTGTTGCCACAGTAACTATATTTTTGGTCATTCTTTAAAAAAATAATGGATCCTATCAATGCAATCATCACTGGTGCTTCATGTTATTCAAGGAAAACTGATAGTCAAACCACCATTTTAACTTCGCATTTTAACTCATTTCCATGCTGCTGGTGTCCCTTGAGTCCCAGATTGAACACTAGGGGTGCTGGACCCAGGATTCAGGCAAGTCTGGGTCAATCTGGAGGACAGAGATAGGGAACCAAATATGGTTCTCTTTTCAGAAATGCCAGATGAATCCCCTAGGGAAGAAGCCATGGCAAACGAAAGGCTGCAGTTTAAGCAACAGAGGTATGGGCAGCCTTCAGGAGTCCCAACAGGGACTTCTAGTTGGTTTGGTGTCAAGGAGATCCCCTGACAGTGAGGTGAAACCTAACACATGAGGAACAAAATGGTGGATACAGCAAAAACAAGTTCTCAGAACGTTAGTGACAAACATGTGTGAGGCGTGGTTCCCAAAGCTATGGGAGCACTTTGAGGGGTTTCGATTTCTGTAGATGTTGTGAGTGTATACTTTTTTACATCCCAGTTGTTACTCTGGACTTATTCTCACCTCTCTTTACCTGGAAAACACAGATTACTTCTATATCTCTGAAAATATTAGAAGTGTAGCCATCAGATGGCACACACAAGTGTGCTTCTTGTCTCTGTCTTTAAAACTATAAGCATTAAAAGTATCATTTGGTAAAAACAGCAGTTATCAGGAAATCATTTAGCCAAGATGAAAAAAAAATCCCTGAATAGCATTTAATCTTCAAAATAAGAATTCTCTGTTCTTGGGTCAGACGGATAAATGATGCGGCACTTAGGCTGATCAAATTCAGTTCTGTTGCAACCGAGTATCAGACAGATATATGTGATGAAAATGTCCTTACACTGCTTTCTTAGTTTGCATAGCTTGTCACCTTTATAGCATTTGTATTTAATTTAGAAAATATTTTCGAACAACCTAATAACAACTTCAAGATACAAAATAATTGTGCACACTTCACAGCTCCTTCCTATTACACGAATGTGTAAATTAAATTCCCTCTCAGAAGAAAAAAACAAGGTTTGGCTTCCCAAAAATGTTTTCATTGGCTTTAGGGAACTAAAACACACCAGTGTCTGGGTGACTAACACTTCCTGTAAAATAAAGATAGATCAACACATAATTAAGTTCTGGCTCAAATATAATTGTTGTCATGGAAACAGTTTGGGGATAAATATGGTTATGCTAATGAAACTCTCCATGATTTCCACTAATGACCCGGTTTATCAATTAGGCCAGGCCATCTTACTACCTTATGCTACCCATTTTGGAATATTTTAAAAGACTGGAGAAAAAAAAAAAAAAACCCACAAAACTTCCTGAGAGAACACTGAAGGGGAAGGAAAGGGTAAAATCTTTAATCATTTATCAGCTCTTTTAAGGATTCTAGTTGAAGGAGTAGATTGAAAGTGCTTTTGGATTATTTGTGGTTTTCAAAATGATCCTACCCCACTAAGCAGAAAAACAGAGTTGTATAGACAGCATTTTGAACTAATAATCCCTAGTATTATTCCTCCGATCTCGACATCCTAAGTAGCCAGCGTTTGCTAGTCCCAGCTTGGGGTGTTCAGTAGTTTTGTAGGAAGTTCTACTTACTGTGTAACCCAAAGAGGAGCCTGCCTGCTCTGTGGGGTTTTGTTGGGGCCGAGTGTGAAGTCTGGGCCCCAGAGCGCATCTCAGCGCTTAGCTCACACCCACTCGGGTGTGCGTGTGAGTGTGTGCGCGGGTGCCTGCGCGTGTGTACGTGTGGGGAGGTGTGCGCCAAAGGGGTGGGGTGCGGGGCAGCGACGAGGGCGCTAGGTGAAGCACGAGGAGAGGGAGGTCGCCCGCTCCGCTGCTCCCCTAGGGGCCCAGGCTGCTCGCCGGCGCTCGGGCTGCACCTCCTGGTGCGCGCCGCGGCGGCGCCACAGGCCCCTCCACCCTTTGACCGCCGCCCTCCAGCTGGCCGCCCGTCCAGCAGCCCGGACCCACGATGGCGCGGGACTGACGGCCGCCAACCCCCGGAGCCCTCCGCCCCGCCCGGGGCTCACGGGGGCCGCGGCGCCGCCCCGACCTGCATGTGGGGCGGGCGCACCCGCGCCCGGAGCGAGCGGCCCTCGGCGCCCCGCGAGGCGGTGCCCGGCCGCGCCGGAGGACGAGGAGGCGGCGCGGCGGGCCGGGCCGGGCTCCCCACGCGCGGCGGGCCGGGAGCACGGGCTCCCCGGAGGGAGCGTGGGGCGTCCCAGCCCAGGAGGAGGGACCCGGAAGCAGAAGCGGAGCCGCGAGTCGAGCCGAGCCGCTGCCCCCGCTGCCCGCCGGCGCCGGGTGGGGGTCCCGGCGGCTGGATGGGCAGCGGCGGCGCGGGCCGCGGGCGGCGATGGGCGAGGAGCAGAGCACGGTGAGCGGCGGCGGCCGGCCCCAGGAGTCGCGGGCCCTGGCCGGTGGCACCGCGGGCCACCCCGAGCCCCCGAGGCCGCGGGGGGACAGCGCAGGGGCGCCCGGGCCGCGCGCTGCCCCCACCGAGTCGAGCGGCGGTGGCTGCGGAAGCAACTCGGGCTCCGCGGACACGAGCACCCCGGAGCCCAGGAGGAGCTGGGGAGCCCCGGCCTGGAGGAAGAGCCAAGCACCGGGGCTGTCCGCGGGACTGGCACTCAACGAGCCTCTCAACCCCCAGACTTTGCAACTGCAGCTGGAGCAGGAGGAGGAGGAGGAAGCTGGGGACCGAAAAGAGGGAGGGGATGAACAGCAGGAGGCGCCCCCCGGCGAGGAGCTGGAGCCCAGGACCCGCGCCGGGGCTCCCGATGGACTCGTCCTGGACGTGCTGGGTCAGCGGCGCCCGCTGCCCGCCAAGAGACAAGTCTTCTGCTCCGTGTACTGCGTGGAGAGCGACCTGCCCGAGGCCCCCGCCGCGGAGCAGCGCTCGCCGCCCGCGTCGCCAGGTCGGGCTCTGCCAGTGCCCAACCCTCCCAGCACCCCTTCTTCCTTCCCCAGCCCCCGGCTGTCCCTCCCATCGGACCCCCTCTCCCCCGACGGCGGCAGCATCGAGCTGGAGTTCTACCTGGCGCCAGAGCCATTCTCCATGCCCAGCCTGTTGGGAGCTCCACCCTACTCTGGCCTGGGTGGGGTAGGGGATCCTTATGCGCCCCTCATGGTGCTGATGTGCCGGGTGTGCCTGGAAGACAAGCCCATCAAGCCCCTGCCCTGCTGCAAGAAGGCCGTGTGCGATGAGTGCCTCAAAGTCTACCTGAGTTCCCAGGTAACTTCACCCCCTTCTGTACCCCTCTCTGTTCCCCATTCATAATTCCAAATCACTAGTGAGGAGGTCCAGCTCTGGAGCTCCCTGCTCATGGGAAGAGGTGACTGAGACACACTTACTTAGGACCTCTGTCAGTTTCTGACATCTCAGTGTTGTTATTACTTAAGTGTGTTTTGTTCTCACTGGTTTACTTGCCTGGAATTTAACTCTGCTCTGAGTTTCAGGCTTTGGTTGGCAACTGTAGAAGGCACAAGGTACAATCAGTTCCCCTCTGCTTATTTCTTCTACTGCATTGCAAGCAAGAGCTTGCTCAAAGGAGGAGGGCAGGAGACTGCCTCATCGGCCTGGTATCCCAGAAACTAACAAGCAGTGGGCATAAAATAAATATTTATAGAGCTGGTGGAGAGAAGGGTTGGAATAAATATCCCAGGCCCATGATACCTGAATTTTTAATTTTGCCCATTTATAATATTCCAGAAAAGTGTAAATTAAAAAAAATATTCCTTGGCCCTTACCCACTTTTCAGTTTTCTTTTAGCACAGTAAAGTTGTAGTACTTTTCTTCACTGAAGTTTTAAGCCAAGAAAGTACTTTATTTCTTTAAGAGGAAAACAAAACAGAAAGAGCAAAACAAAGCAAAGAGAGCCTAAGAGGTTTAACAACACAAGTGCTGGTGAAACTTTCTTCCTAGGCCTCTTATTTGAAAACTTGGTTTTTTTCTTGGAAAGCTTGAGAGTGCAACAGACCAGCTTTCCTTCACTGACGGTGCATGTGTTCTTCCAGCAGTTTTCAATCTGTGATGTTTCTGCCAGTGTTTTGCACAATCCGGAATGCCCTTTGATCCGTGTCCAATTGTCCTTGGCCTATTCATCTTTCAAAACCCTGTCTGTTCAGGTGCCAACTCTTCTGTGAAGCCTTACAGGCCACTGCTTATATACTTTCAAAATATCTTACGTATCTTATGTCTACTGAAGTTGTTCCTTATGTGTCTGTTTGTCTTGATAGACTGTCTGGACAATGTCTCACAGTCCTGTATGTGTTAGTTTCACATTGAGTCCCTTTCACTGCAATAGCATTTAATAACATTGGCCTAAGCGGACTGAACAGGGCTCACTTGGTGTGGTTTCTCTTTGTTTTGTGGCTAATCCAAGCTTGGGTCTAGACTGAAAGTATGTACAGTGCCCAGCTGAAAATGCAAAGGGAAAATTGAGAATGGAATGTTACACAAACAGTGAATTGGCCAAAATATTTGAGATTATCCAAATGCCTGGGAGAGACTATGATGTCTCTTTCATGCTTTATCCACAAACAGACACTTAAAACAGGAGCAATAGCTGTTGCTTGTTGTGGCAGTTTCTATGACATCACCATTAAACAGATAATTGCTGTGCAAAAACCCCATGGTAGGATTCAGAAATTTCTAAAAGATGGGCCCTGCTCCAAGGAATTCACTGTGAGAGCAAATGTGTACAAAATAACAATACAAGGTAGCATATAATGAGATGTCAACAGAGTAGCAATACCAGATAGCACTTCCTGTGAAATGCTGGATACACATACCAGTGGGTTTAGAAGTTCAAGGGAGGTAGTCATTGTGGGTTGGGGTACTCTGCATAGCAGTTTGAGTTCATTATGGTGGGCCCTTTGCCCACATAAGTTTTCTTTTTCTTTTTTCATCTACTAAAAGTTAGTTTTAGGAAGTCAGTGTTTTGGTCTCTAACAGAAAAAAGGAGGAATGGTGGTGGGGGAGGGGAGCATACAAGGTGAGTGAGGCGGTCACTGCACTGTACAGGTTAACCACTAAACACTCCTCTGAAGTGACATAGTATCTAAAGCTTATCTACAATATTTATGATTGTATGTGTGTTGCTGACCTTCTCCCAAGGCATTTTACAGAACTTTTAGTAAAGAAAAATATATATTATTTAAAATAAACAACAAAAACAAAAATATGAGTTATGTATGCCAGGCAAGCTTTCTCCTCAGGGATTTTGCAATTGCCGTTACCTGTGCCTGGAACATTCCCCTCCCTGTCCCTTTGTGTGCTCACTCTACTCCCCTTCAGGTCTGTATTCAAATGTCTGTGACCTTCACTGACCACTCTTAAACTTGAGCCTCACCCCACACTGTCTCTTTTCCTGGATTTTATTTTCTCTACAGCACTAACATACTCTGTCTTATTCTTAAGTATAAAGAAAAAAGCTTCCACATAATTCGTTTGCTTCTATATCTTTAGCATCTACAACATTGTGTAGCATATGACAAATTTGCAACCAATAATTACTGAATTTATGAAGAGCCTGAGATTACCCCAGAAACCAACGCTAGGAAGTGGTGTTCTGCTTGGGCACTAAATTCTATTCTGAGCTTCTTAATATTTAAGATAAAAGACAAAGGCTTAAAGCAGACAAAAATAACTGATTTGCTAAGTTTGTTATTAAGCTGAGAATTAAACACTTTAGGTAAACTTTTAGCTTATTAAAACCCTCTTTCTGTTGGATAAAAATACAAGATTGTGGTTGTAATGTTTTTGATCTATATTAATTCTAAGGTCTCTCTACTCAAAGAGTCTGTTTTTCTCTGTCACTTGATGCCTTTGTGCCTTAATATCCTCATCAATGAAATGTAATTGCAGACGATGATCTGTAATAACCTACAAGTTCTAAAGCAAAACAAAATCAAATTGCATGGTTGTTTTGCTACCTTACTAAGCTAGATCAAAAGGGCATAATGAGTGCTTTCTTTCTCATTTTATAAGGTTTCTTAGGTTTGACAGAAGCAAATGTGTCAAGACTGAATTTTAAAACCTTTGGAAATGAAATGATATAGTTGAAATAAAGAGCTATTGGTGACTTTTTACACCATTTTTTTAAGTTTGTGTCACATTACTTAGTGCATTTTAATGTAATTTAAGAAAATAAAGGAGAGTCCCTATTAAACATTTTTTACAAACATTAAAAGTGCATATTAAATGTGAGTTGAAATATTGCCTGGTTAAATATTCTTCTAAAAGGAGATGCTGAGTTCTTTGAAAGAAGATATGAACTTGGAAGATACGAATGTAGATTTTTAGGTGATCAGTCTATTTCCATTAGTGCTATGGACTGAATATGTGGCAAAGGCTGATGTGTAGTTGTCATCAGTATTTCAGTACAGACATAGTAGATTAGGTGGTGTCTTAAGTATCTCTGTGCAGTGGCATAATAGTTTTATTTTCCAAAACATAATTATTCTCCTGTTGTTGCCATAACTGGGGCTGAGGGAAGCCTTCTCAGTGGAATAACTTTATAGTATAATATGTACCATTCAATTTCTGATTGTCATGGTGAAAGGTTAAGCTGATGGATTATAAATCTTTAGCACCAGAGTAGATGTTGATTTAGAGGCTGTGGAGCATCAGGGCAGAGATAGTTACATTGTTTTATATTGCCTGGGTACATAAATCCTGGGCATAGACATTTTAGAAGTGCATTTACCAGTAACCTATGTATGCGTGCATGACTATGGCTCAAGCACACAATCCCAAGGATGTCTCCAATATCTTGCAGGTCCCTGAGCCTTCCTAAGTGTTGGCCTTCTCAGCTGGATTGGCCTTCATCACGTTTTCCTAGGAAGAAAAATTACCTGTTGCCTTCTTTGTTTCATAGAGTGATATTATGGTCATTTCAGAAAGCCTCCATGGTTATCTTTCCTTTTATGATTTTGGTTTAGACAGAAAAATTTGTTAAAAATGAAGTATTAATATTTAGTATTTTAGATGAAGAAAGACATGAGCATGCCAAAGGGCTTGCTAAAGGTAACAGCTGTTGTGGCTTTCACCACTCTGCTGAAAAGTTCTAGGGATTGGCAGATGCATATGGCTTGGAATGTATACACCTGTCCAATGAGTATTAATAGAAACAAGCAACACATTTCTTCTGCAAATTGTGAACAGAACAGCTGCTAGATGGTAATGTCCTAAAATGACTGTCTACTATAGTCACCCTAGAATCAGTGACCTAGGGCTGAAAGCTTACATATCCTATTATTAAACTCTGAGTCATCCAGATCTTCATGAGTAAAAGTGTAACAACGTTTTTTTCCCTTATACGTTAAAGCACCTTAAATATTTTTGGAAACCTTTGTGTTCAGTATGGAGTTTGAATGCAGTTGTCTTCACACAGGTGAATTTATAGATCCTATCATGCCAGGCGTGATTTTGCTAGTCCTAAAGAATGTTATGAGACCGAAAATTTGTTTTGAAGTCACTCTGCAAATTTGAAAAGTGAGAATTAAGGCATCTGTAAGCTTATTCTATTGTGTAGAAAATTTATATGTGTGTGTGTGTAGGTGTGTGTATGTATTGGGGGGTACAATAACATTTGCTTTCACACCTTGCTGATTCATGCCCTTATTTTCCTCATCTCTCTCTGCTTCATTTTTCTTTAACAATTTCTTTCATTCCCCCCTTTTTTTCTTTTGCTTTTCAAAATCTGGTTTTAACTGGTTTAAATTTGATTTCTGAAGAAGAATCTTCTGTGGAGTGCTGAGCCCTGGGGCCAGCAGGATCTTCTCTGAGGCATTCTGCATGGATGGGTGTTTTTCTTTGCCTTTTAGCTGTCTGCAGGTGAGGCTATATAGAGAAATGCTTCCTTGTACTCCACTACCTAAGACATCTCAAATAGTATTACAAGTACTACTGACTTAAAGCATCAGTTGATACCTTTAGAATGTGAATTTTTTCCTTATAGAGTAGAGCTTGGCTTTTATACTTGAAGGCTCTTCCTTACTCTTGCTATGAAAGACATAAATAAGGAAATCATTAGAACTTGAACTGTCAGCTTTTTATTCAGAGTTTGTGATGGACAATGTAGATAAATACTTGAGTGGTAATTTCTTATAATTATTCATTTATTAGTGTACCATTTGTACATTGAACAAACATTTATTTGGGCATCTGTATGCACCATGAGATACTCTATCAATAGTGTATTAAATGTCCTCAAGGAACCGTCTTACAGC